GGGGGGGGTATAGGATCTCTCTCTGCCCCACTGGACCTGCCAAGGTCAGAGCCGTGTCTGATGCGTTCGTCCTTTCCACTCTTCCAGTGCGCTACGGATGAGGAGGAGGGCGGCCTGGGCAAGCGAGGAGGCCACGTCGTCGGGCATTCGGGGGACCCTCGGCCTTTGTGGGCCCCCCACGGCGGCCCCTCGGAGGGTGAGTGGAGGCCGGTCCCGAGGAAAGACCAGCCGTCTGTCCCCCATAGACGACAGAAAGAGCCGGGCTGGCCGGCCCGGAGGAGGGGGGTGCCTTGGCCCCTCTGTGGAGACCCCCAGTCCTGAGCGTGGCTGCCCCCGTCACTGAGGGTCTCTGTTGCCCACGGGTGGTCCTCCCCGGCCTGCTCCCATGGTCCCTGCTGGTTTTTGAAGAAGAGGCTAGACAGTCCCTTGTCTGAGATGGTGTAGGGTCTCCTGCTTGAGCGGGGGGCTGGACTACAAGACCTCCGAGGTCCCTTCTAGATTCTATTCTATTCTAAATTCTCTATTCTCTATTCTGTTCTATTCTTATTTCTATTCTATTCTGTTCTGTTCTATTCTTATTTCTTATTCTATTCTATTCTATTTATTTCTTATTCTGTTCTGTTTTATTCTATTCTTATTTCTTATTCTATTCTATACTATTCTATTCTTATTTCTTATTCTATTCTTATTTCTTATTCTATTCTATTCTATTTATTTCTTATTCTGTTCTGTTCTGTTCTATTCTATGTTCTTATTCTGTTCTGTTTTATTCTATTCTTATTTCTTATTCTATTCTTATTTCTTATTCTATTCTATTCTATACTATTCTATTCTATACTATTCTTATTTCTTATTCTATTCTTATTTCTTATTCTATTCTATTTATTTCTTATTCTGTTCTGTTCTGTTCTGTTCTATTCTATTTTCTTATTCTGTTCTGTTTTATTCTATTCTTATTTCTTATTCTATTCTATACTATTGTATTCTATTCTTATTTCTTATTCTATTCTTATTTCTTATTNTGGAGGATTTGGGAGGGACCTCCCTGCAGGAGTACGTCCAAAGGTCCGACAACTGGAATCTGCAGGATCTGATCCGGCAGTGCGGGAACCGCTTCTGCGGCTTCAACAACAAGGCCGCCGGAGCTGAGCGGGAGAGGCAGGTCATGGAGCTGATGAAGACGGTGCAGAGAACCATCTTCCAGAACGGGGGGCGATGCTATGTCAACCAGCTGTACGGGGAGCCCAGCTTACGGGACGAGCACGTCCGATCTTTCGTGACCAAGAACAGAAGAGAGAGGACCTGGGTACCCCGTTCCACAAAGTGTCAAGCATGGATTGGGTGGTGTTGCTTGGCGGTGTTTGTGGTTGTGATTATTCTTGTCGTCCATTTTTTATGAGTGCTTTGCAAAGTTTTCAGAGGGAGCGGAAGAGACGTTGTTGGGGAGTGAGTGGCTTGTGTGGACTTGCCCTGATTGCAGTGAACTTGCCACACCTGGGGAGGGCAGGAGGGGACCGGTGGGACTCCAGGAGAGCCACAGTTCCCTTCGCACCCCAACGTCTCCCCAGTTCCTGCCCTGTCTCCACGCCTTGGGACCCCTTGGCCCCCTTGACTGATCTCCAGACTGAGCAGATTGGAGAGCTGGAGAATAGACCCCCAAGAAGGGACCTGGATTCTGCATTTTGGGGGGGAGGGGCCAGGGGGTGGCACAGCCTTCTGCGCAGCGGCACAGATAACGGAGCCGATCCCAGCTGACCAACGTGCTAAAATTGGGGCGCGAAATCTCAACATTGGCACGAGAAACGCAGCTTTAACTTGGTGTCAATCCACTGGTGTCAATTCTCAGCGTCCCCACAGGGAGATTTTCTCCATGTGTGTATGTGTGTGTGTGTGTGTGTGTCCTAGGCCTTCCAGAAATGCGCTCCGTCGTCTCCAATTTGAATCCATCCATCTTTCTCAGGACAAAACCTCTTTTTTCTCTACGACGGTCCTGCCGCTGAAAGAAAATAACTCCCACACCCGCTGGGAGCTTCTGTGGCTGAGGGGGACTAGAATGGGGTCTCCACCATTCTTGGGGGGGGGTCAGGGGGGACGAGAGAAGAGATGATCCCACTTCTCCAGTGCAAAATAATAATTTTAAAAAAATACCAGGATGAAAATGGCTTGATTTACCAGAAAAGGAAAAACGAGTACACGAATAAACGTTACCCTTTGGACAGGAACGTACTAAACGTGTGTGTATTATATAAGATATATGTGCAACGTAAAGTTTGCCGAATGACATCCTGTACACAGGTAGTCCTCGACTTACGACCAGGATGGAACCCAACCTTTATGTTGCGGAGTGAGACACATTTGTGAAGGCGGTTTCACTCCATTTTACGACCTTTCTTGATGATCTTTACGGCCACGGTTAAGTCAGGCGTTGCGGCGGTGAAGTTAGCCTTGACTTTTTCTCGTCAGAAGGTCGTAAAAAGGGACGGCGGGACCCCTGGCACGCTGCAACCGTCATAAATACAAGTCGGTTGCCAAATGCCTGAACTTGGATCGTGCAACGACGGGGATGCCACAACGGTTGTACGTGTGAAAAGTTATCAAAAGTCAGATTTTCCAGGGCTGCCGTAACTCCAAATGGTGACTAAACCGGCGGTTGTAAGTCAAGGGCTACTTGTATTATATAAAATACATGTTATGTAAAGTTGACAGAATGACAGAATGACAGACTATATCTATATATGTTTAACACCAGTTTCCTGGTAAGATCTACCCTATTACCTGGTTCTCCTTAGCATTTTTATTAATAAAGGCTCTTCAGATGCTGATTGGTAAATGCTGATTGCAATCTTTTGATTCAGGGAACGTATCCCCAAAATTCAGGAAGGGGCAGGCAGCATAAAAGGGACTTTGCTTCTGGGATCCGGGCAGGGACACCGAGCCACGGGTGATTGTGGCTTGCACCGAAAGTCGATTCAAGCCACGAAAGAGAGCCGGGTGCTGCCTCCCACGCATGGCGAGTTCTGACCTCGGAGTCCGAGTGGACGGATGCCAGCCGTGTGCGGCGGCAGCCGGAAAAGCTAACACGATCCTCGGTTGTCGTCTAAACCGAGGCATAGAATCAAAATCAGGTGAAGTTATTAGCACCGCTTTGTAAAGCCTTAGTAAGGCCACCCCTGGAATACCTGCGTCCAGTTTTGGTCCTCACATTACAAAAAAAAAGAGGTTGAGACTTTGGAAAAAGGGGCGAGAAGAGCAACTGGGATGATCAAAGGCCTGGAGACTAAAACATACTGAACGGGAAATCTATCTGTTCTATATAAATAAAAATGTAAATGTTCGTTTGTTCCAAATCTTAAATCTCCAAAAGTTCTTCACCGATTGCTTTGAAATTTTGACACAACGTTGCATTCGAATACGCGCGTGTTTTTATATACTTACTATTATATAGATCGTGCACTTTCTCTTTTCTTTCTTTTCCATTTAACCAGACTAAGCCACAGCAACGCATGACCGGGTACAGGTAGTTAGTTATATAGAAGCAAATGTTTCCTGCTTCAGGTACGGTAAGGGGAGGGGAAAAAGGAGTTAAGGATGGAACCTGAGTTGCTGGGTATGAGTCATCGTCTAGGACAGTGGTTCTCAACCTTTTTAATGCCGCGACCCCAACTGGTCGTAAGTCGAGGACTAAACCGGTCGTACGTCGAGGACTAAACCGGTCATAAGTCGAGGACTACCCAACCGGTCGTAAGTCGAGGACTTTCCCTGCCCGGTAGCGCCACGCATGCATGGTTCCACCCCCTGCGCCGGCCGAGGCGTAGCTGGCAAGCGGCAGAGACGGAGCAGGCCGACCACCAGCTGGCCCAGCCCAAGGAAGGTAAGGCACCCGCCGGAAAAGGGGAAAAAAATGGCGGACAAAAAAAATGGCGGACAGCCTTGCTTGGCGACCCCCGTGAAATGGTCGATTGACCCCAAATGGGGTCGCGACCCATAGGTTGAGAACTGCTGGTCTAGGAATTGTTTTTTTGTGCCATCTTATGCCTGGTACCAAGACCTGATCTTTTTGTTCTGGAAAGGTATAAAAGGCAGAAGACATGTTTCCCGGTCGTTGCCTTTATCTCTCTACCAGCCATGAAGAGAGACCGGGTCACCCATCTCTATTTTGATCAAAATAAAAGTTGTTTGCTTGCTGAAACCTCAGCTCAGGAGTTTCTTTGGCTCTTTTAAAATTCCTGAGTAATGCCGGGACAATTGTGAGGCTAAGCGGAAAACCTTACAACACAAAGAACGGCGGCGGGATTTGGGTACGGCAAATCTAGAGAAAAGAAGGACTGAGGGGGACACGATAGAAGTATTCCAGTATTTGAGGGGCTGCCCCAAAGAAGAGTGGGGGGTCAACTTATTCTCCAAAGCCGCTGAAGGCAGGACAAGAAGCAACAGATGGAAGCTGATCAGGGAAAGAAGCAACCTAGAACTAAGGAGAAATTTCCTGACAATGAGAACAATTAACCAGTGGAACTGCTTGCCACCAGAGGTTGTGAGCGCTCCAACACTGAGGGCTTTTCAGAAGAGACTGGACAGACATTTATCTGAAATAGACGTAGAGGGTCTTGAGCAGCGGGGGTGGGGTGGACTTAGAAGACTGTTAAGGTCCCTTCCAGCTCTGTTATTCTGCGATTCTGTCAGGGTCTCCTGTTGGAGCAGGGGGTCAGAATAGATGAACTCCGGGGTCCCTTCTAACTCTGTCATTCTGTATTCTGTTAAGATATTGAATTTAGTGGCTGGCAGACTAAAGCGTGCCATGGGCCAGAACACGCAGTTGTAGTTGAGTGGCTGGAGAGCGCTGGCTCCTGCGTGAGGCGATCTGCGCTGCGATTGGTTGCTGTGGGGGCAAAGGGGACGTTTCCCTTTTTTCCCACCTTTTTTTCTTCTCTGTCTTGTGCCTACTGTTTAATTTACCTCAGGATGTTCCTGTGTCCCTGACTGTCTGGTTTGCTCATGCAGGTGGCGATCTGTGCTGTGATTGGTTGCCTTAATTATAAAGGGGGCTTTCCCCCTTTTTCCCGCCTTTTTTCTCCTCTGTGTTCTACTGCCTGCTGTTTAATTTACCTCAGGATGTTCCTGTGGCCCTGTTTTGTCTGCTCATGCAGGAGGCGATCTGCGCTGTGATTGGTTGCCACAAGTATAAAGGGGGTGTTTCCCTTTCTTCCCGCCTTTTTTATTCTCTATCTTCTGCCTGCTGTTTAATTTTACCTCAGGATCTTCCTGTGTCCCTGACTGTCTTGTGTTTTCTTCTATTCTGGATGAAGACAAAGACTCTTGTAAGTTTGAATGTTAAACATATTTATATACATGTATAAAAGACAAGAGGTTTGTGTTAGTGTCTCCGACTTCATCTTAATAATAATAAAGTTGGAAGGGACCTTGGAGTTCATCTAGTCCAACCCCCTGCTCAGGCAGGAAACCCTATTCCATTTCAGATAAATGGCTGTCTTCATAATAATAGTAATAGTAATAATAATAAAGTTGGAAGGGACCTTGGAGGTCATCTAGTCCAGCCCCCTGCTCAGGCAGGAAACCGTATACCATTTCAGACAAATGGCTGTATAGTTTCTTAATAATAATAATAATAATAAAGTTGGAAGGGAGGTCATCTAGTCCAACCCCCTGCTCAGGCAGGAAACCCTAGACCATTTCGGACAAACGGCTGTCCAGTCTCTTCTTAAAAACTTCCAGTGTTGGAGCAGTCACCGCTTCTGGAGGCATTTCTTGGTGCCTTTCACCCACCCCGAATAAAAGCATAGATAAAAAAAACAAACAGATTTGAAACGGATATTTAATAATGATGCTAATGCTAATAATATTTTTTTTTTTTAAAGTTGGAAGAGACCTTGGAGGTCATCTAGTCCAACCCCCTGCTTAAGCAGGAAACCTTAGACCATTTCAGAAAAATGGCTGTCCAAAAAAGCCAACACAGTGCTGGGCTGCATTAACAGAGGGATAGAATCAAGATCACGTGAAGTATTAATACCACTTTACAATGCCTTGGTAAGGCCACACTTGGAATATGGCATCCAGTTTTGGTCACCACGATGTAAAAAAGATGTTGAGACTCTAGAAAGAGGGCAGAGAACAGCAACAAAGATGATTAGGGGATTGGAGGCTAAAGCATACGAGGAACGGCTGCTGGAATTGGGTATGTCTAGTTTAATGAAGAGAAGGAGGAGGGGGGACATGATAGCCGTGTTCCAGTATCTCAGGGGCTGCCCCAAAGAAGAGGGAGTCAAGCTGTTCTCCAAAGCGCCTGAAGGCAGGACAATGAGCAACGGGTGGAAACTGACCAAAGAGAGAAGCAACCTAGAACTAAGGAGAAACTTCCTGACAGTGAGAACAATTAACCAGTGGAACTCCTTGCCTCCAGAAGCAGTGAATGCTCCAACACTGGAAGTTTTTAAGAAGAGACTGGACAGCCATTTGTCCGAAATGGGATCTGGTTTCCTGCTTGAGCAGGGGGTTAGACTAGATGACCTCCGAGGTCCCTCCCAGCGCTGTGATCTGTTAGGGTCTCCTGCCTGAGCAGGGGGTTGGGCTAGCAGACCTCCGAGGTCCCTCCCAGCGCTGTGATTCCATAGAGAGGGGAGGGATAACGAACTGGTTGGAGGGACTCCGGAGCCCAAGGGACGTGTGAGTCTGGGTCCCAGGCAGCTCCACCAGCCTTAAAAGAGCTACTGGACCCCCTCCCCTCCCCCCCCCAAGGCTGGGAACGATGAACCTTCGTAAACAGGTGACTCCATGCTGGATCCCAGGTACAAACACGGCCATAAAATGCAGCCACACCTGGGACCTTGTCCGGGTCCAACCTGCAAGGGACAGGCGTGTCTCTCCACCTTTCATCTGTTGCCCGGTTTCACCTGTGATTGATCCTCAAACATTACACCTGGTGATTTCTCCGACGTTGATTGGCGCGTGTCCAGCAGGGAAGGGAGGGGTCCTTCTCCAGCCTTCCCTTTCTTTCGGCAGCTGCCAAAAAGGCCAACACAGTGCTGGGCTGCATCAACAGAGGGATAGAATCAAGATCACGTGAAGGGTTAATACCGCTTTACAAGGCCTTGGTAAGGCCACCCTTGGAATACGGCCTCCAGTTTTGGTCACCACGATGTCAAAAAGAGGTTGAGACTCTAGAAAGAGTACAGAGAAGAGCAACAAAGATGATCAGGGGACCGGAGGCTAAAACATATATAAGGAACCGTTGCTGGAATTGGGGATATCTAGTTTAATTAAGAGAAGGATGAGGGGGGACATGATAGCAGCGTTCCAGTATCTCAGGGGCTGCCCCAAAGAAGAGGGAGTCAAGCTATTCTCCAAAGCGCCTGAAGGCAGGACGAGAAGCAACAGATGGAAACTAACCAAGGAGAGAAGCAACCTGGAACTAAGGAGAAACTTCCTGACCGCGAGAACAATTAACCAGTGGAACCACCTGCCTCCAGAAGCAGTGAATGCTCCAACACTGGAAGTTTTTATGAAGAGACTGGACAGCCATTTGTCCCAAATGGTGTAGGGTTCCTGCCTGAGCAGGGGGTTGGACTAGATGACCTCCAAGGTCCCTTCCAACTTTATTATTATTATTATTATTATTATTATTATTATTATTATTATTACTACTACTACTACTACTACTACTACTACTACTACTACTACTAGCTGTACCCGGCCACGCGTTGCTGTGGCTCCGTCTGGTTCAATGGAAAAGAAAGAAAAGAGAAAGCGCACGTTTCTAATATGTTTAATTTCACAATGCTTGTGGGTATACAATATTTTTTGTGGTTCCATTGTCTGTGCATCAATTCCAACGCAATGTCACACGAAATAATTAAATCAAAATGAAAATAAACCGAAACCTATGAAAATTCAATTTAACAATGCAATCGGAAACATTGAAATGGAATCGTGAAATTGGAAATTTGGAAATCGTAAATGGATCGTAAATCGGAAACATTGAAATGGAATGGTAAAATCGTAGCGGGTGTTGCTTTTACGTCCAACAGATGGCGCTGTTTTTCAAAAAAGGCATGTTTTTACCTGTCACAGGTGTGACATCTATATAATATAGGTATATAAAAACACGCGCGTATTCGAATGCAACGTTGTTTCAAAATTTCAAAGCAATCGGTGAAGAACTTTCGGAGATTTAAGATTTTGAACAAAGGTTGGGGGCTGCTTTATAAGCCCCGTTCTGCCCCACCCACCCACCCACTTCCTGCCCTAACCCTAACCCTAACCTCGATAAACACCTTTGTTTCCCCATTGTTCGGTGTCCCTCGTTCTTGCCAAGTGGGGCCCCCTGGCGATCGTCGCAATCGGACAGGGGTTTTCTGCATCAGGATTTTTCCACAGCATAGAGAAACGGGCTCTCCGTCGCAAACCCCTCTAGCTACTCTCCCTCCCTTTAGCTTTCGACTCTTGAGAAGTCTTCAAGTTTGCAATTCTCGGCCTCGGTCCTAAATTCTCCATCTTTAAATCTCACTTACAAAGAGGGGACCTAGTGGTAGGCAACACAAGATTTCCGTTCCCCCTTTTGGAAGGCAGAAGCAGGTTTTCTGTTTCTACAACGGGCAGGTTTCTGCGGACTCTGCTTTGGGCTGGATTTTGGGGTACGATCCTGACTTTGAGGGTTCATCCGTGTGGATAGGACAAAAACAAGAACAAATGCAGATAGACTACTTTTTTTTGATAACGGTAACTTTCTTAGTAGATGGCGGGTATGCAGGGAACATAATATATCACAATTTTTGATAGGGAAACTGTATTAGTAGATGGTGGGTATGCAGGGAACATAATATATCACATTTTTGATAGGGTAACTTTATTAGTAGATGGTGGGTACGCAGGAACATAATATATCACATTTTTGATAGGGTAACTTTATTAGTAGATGGGTATGCAGGGAACATAATATATCACATTTTTTGATAGGGAAACTATTAGTAGATGGTGGATATGCAGAAAGCATAATATATCACATTTCTGATAGGGAATCTTTAGTAGTAGATGGTGGGTATGCAGGGAACATAATATATCACATTTTTGATAAAGAAACTATTAGTAGATGGTGGGTATGCAGGGAACATAACACATCACATTTTTTGATAGGGAAACTTTCTTAGTAGATGTGGGTACGCAGGGAACATATCACATTCTCTCATCAAATATGGAGTTTATACTGCTGATAGTATAAAGTCAAGATATGCTGGCTGGGGAATTCTGGGATTTGAAGTCCACAAGTCTTTAAAAGTAGCCACGTTTGGAGACCCTGGTTTAGAAAAAAGCGATTGTCAATGCTCTTGAAAAATGGTTGTAACTCATCCTGAAAAACACAAGAGGACTCGCAACTCGAGAAACATTTACCAATCAGCATATGAAGTGCCTTTATTAATAAAAGTGCCAAGGAGAACCTGGTATTAGGGTACACCAGGGGTGTCAATCTGCCAGCCCGTGGGCCGGTTGCATCATACGGAGGCCGTGCCCACCCCAGCTGAGACAACGCGGAAAAAGTCATGACGCGGCGATTTTGACACCCGTGGGGTAGATCTTACCAGGAAATTGGTATTAAACACGTACACAGTATGTCATTCTGTAAACTTTACATTACATATATATCTTGTATCATAGACACGTTTACTAAGTTACTGTCAAAAGGGTAACGTTTATTCGTGTACTCGTTTTTTGTTTTTTTCCTTTTAAATCAAACCCTTTTCATTCTGCTATTTCTTTTTTTTATTTTGCACCAGAGAAGTGGGATCATCTCTTCTCTCGCCCCCCCACCCCAAGAATTGTGGAGACCCCATTCTAGCCCCCCCCCCCTCAGCCACAGAAGCTCCCGGCATGTGTGGGAGTTATTTTCTTTCAGCGGCAGGACCGTCGTAGAGAAAAAAAAGAAGTTTTGTCCAGAGAAAGGTGGATGGAGTCAATTAGAGACGATGGAGTACACTTCTGGAAGGCATAGGGGGACGTGTGCACACACACACACACACACACACACACCGAGAAAATCTCCCTGTGGGGTCACTGAGAATCCACACCAGCAGATCATCCATCCTTCAAACTGTGTTCGGAGACGGGAAGCTCCATCTGAGGACTACAAACCACTCAACGGAAAGCCGCGTTTCTCGCGCCAATGTTGAGATGTCGCACGCCACAATTTTAGCAGGTTGCTTAGCTGGGCTTGGCTCTATTATTTGTGCAGCTGCGCAGAAGGCTGTGCCACCCCCTGGCCTCTCCCCCCCCCAAATGCAGAATCCAGGTCCCTTCTTGGGGTCTATTTTCCAGCTTCCCAATCTGATCAGTCAAGGGGGCTAAGGGGTCCCAAGGCCTGGAGACAGGGAAGGAACTGGAGAGACGCCGGGCTGCAAAGAGAACCGTGGCTCTCCTGGCGTCGCACCAGTCGCCTCCCGCCCTCCCCAGGTGTGGCAAGTTCACTGCAATCAGGGCACGTCCACACAAGCCACTCGCCCACAACGTCTCTCCCGCTCCCTCCCAAAACTTTGCAAAGAACTCACGACAACTGGACCGCCAGAACGATCACAATCACAATCACCACGCACGCCAACCCAATCCATCCCCAAGTCTCTTTGGAGTACCACACCCGTTTCCAGTCCTTTCGGTCCTCTACGGATATCCTAACGTGCTGATCCCGTACGTTGGGCTTCACGTACAGCCAGTTGGCGTAATATCGCCCCCCATTCTCGAAAACAACTCTCTCCACCATCTCCATCAGCTCCGAGACCTGCCTCTCCCGCTCGGCTCCCGCGGCCTTGTTGTTGAAGCCGCAGAAGCGGTTCCCACACTGCCGGATCAGAGCCTGCAGATTCCGGTTGTCGGACTTTCGGACGTACTCCTGCAGGGTGGCGCCTTCCAGATCCTCCAAGCAGGTGAAGAGTACGATCGTGTGCCTGGCAGACTCGGCCCCAAAGATAGCCCGAACCCGCTTTGCGGCAGCCACATCTTCCGCAGTGAAGCGCCCCACCTGGGTCACCAAGATCAGGGCGTGGGGACCAGGCCGGGAGAGTTCGGCACAAGCCCTGGTCTCGTTTTGCACCATCTCACTGTGGTTTTCCGAATCACAAATGGCTGGGGTGTCGACCACGGAGATCTTCCTGTCCTGCCATCTTCCTTGACCCCTTTGGCAGCTCAGGGTGGTGGCCTTTGCCCCCAGGTGGGACTCGAACTCTTTCCGGCCGAGGATGGTGTTGCCCGTGGCGCTCTTCCCGCCGCCGGTTTTTCCCACCAGGATCAGCCGGAGGTCGGCGTCCTCCCCTGCGAGTTTGGAAGACAGTGTCACAAAAAGGAATCGAGACATTTCACAGATGCCCGGGGAAGAAACGTGGGGCCGTGATCGAACATGTCGGGGCGTCATGGAGCAGGCTGGAAACGGGGACAGTTTTGGAAAAGAGTCATCCCTGCCCTGAAGCGCTTCAGGGCTTCTTTTTTTGGAATCTCCCAGAGTTGCTAAAACGCGATACTCTGCCGTGCAGATTCCCGCAACGTGCGAACCCCACTTTAGCAAAACTCCACTGATAAAACAATGAAGCTCCAAGTCAGGAAATTACCTTTGGTTTCAGAGGACAGCCTGGATCCCAGCAGCCCCCCGCCCCACACCTGAGGTCCGAGTATGGCCACTGCATCCAGCCCCACCAGCAAAGCTTGGTCCGAGCGACCCGGAAGAGACTCAGGGCTGCTGGCAGAGACCTGCGGGAGGATGCCTGACCAACTGGGCCTGGGGGGCAGGATGCAGAGGCAGGTTGGACCAAGCAGGACTGACCCTCCTGTCTCCCCCTGCTGAGCGTGCAAGCCGGCTTCCAACTTGGTTTGTTTCAGACAGAGGGCCGGGAGGACGATCCGTGCGGAACCGAGGAAACTCCGACTGCCGGGGTGTGGATCCAAGGGGTTTGCTGAAATGGGTCTCGAGGGCCACCCCACCCACCCACCCACACGAGTGCCCCGCGACAGTCGCTTCCTCCCGCCTGCCTGTCCTTCCAGGCCCACCGGTGAGACTGCCGTCTTCCTTCTCCGGCGATGCTGCGTCACCAAACCCCGTCCGAGGTGGGTCTCCCAGAGCCGAAAGACCAGCAGGGACTGTGGAAGGGGGCCCGTCCGTGGGCAACAGGGCCCCTTAGGGAGGGAGGGAGGGAGGGAGGGAGGCAACTGTGTTTAGGAGTGAGGAGGGAGTCTCCACAGAGGGGCCAAGGTACCCCTCCTCTAGGCCGGCCAGCGAGGCTCTGGCTGCTCGCTCTGGGGAGAGACCCATCCAGCGCAGCTCTTCCTCTGAACTGGCATCAGCTCGCCCTCCACGTGGCTGCCGTGTTTTCCCCGCCCCAAATGCCAGGCGTGGCCTCCTCCACTTACCCAGCATGGACTCCTCATCCGTGGCTCCCTGGAAGAGTGGAAAGGAAACACGAGTCACACGTGTCCAGTGGAACAGAGAGCCAGCTGCTCCCCCATTCAGAAACCGCAGCCTGGTCCCCCACCCCACATTCGAGGCTGCTCTGGAGCATCCCCCCGGCTAAAAGGGGG